AAAAAAATAAAAACTGAAAAAAACGAAAATCCAATAATCTGGGAAAGAAAGAAAAGAAACTATTGAGCTAGTCATGGTGAGACAAGCTTAGTCTTTAATCTCAGCACTCAGGATCAGAGACAGGTCTATGGGTTTGAGGCCAACCTGATCTACATAGAAAGTTCCAGGCCAAGGCTATATAGCAAAACTTTGTTTGTTCTCAAAACAAACAAACAAACAAAATCCCAGAATTTCTTATTAAGGAAAATTAGACATAATATTCTCAACAAGTATTATACTCTTTTAAAAGGTCACACAGGGGCTGAAATCAATCCCCAGCATAAGGACAGAAAGAAGAAAGGAAGGGGGAGGAAAGAAGAGAAAAAAGGTAAGATTAGGAAGCAGAACAGAGGATATAATTTAAGGCCTAAGCTCCTGGTTGAAGTTGTCCATTTTTATGACTCTGTATGTGCCAGTGGTTTTCCAGTTCTCAGTACATAGGGAAGAGTAGAAACCAAGAGTCATCCTGGAATTTCCTTTTTGTTTTCAGGCATGTCTTGAAGACATAGTGAGAGCAGGTATGCATGGGTACCCGGAAAGACTGCAACCCAAGATGATGCTGCGTAAGGCAGAGTGCCTGGTGAACCTGGGGAGACTACAGGAGGCGAGACAAACCGTCATTCATCTTGAAAGCAGCCTCAATGCCAAGCCAACGCTGGTATCTTCCTCTCATCAGATTCTGCAGAGGAACCTCCACCACCTGAAAGTGAAGATACGGGAGAAGGAGAATCTCCCAGAAACCTTCCCAAAGGCTCTCACCAGAGCCTTTGAGGATATGGCCCTGGGGGAAGAGAACAAACAGATTTCTGGGGCATCACTCTCTGTCAGCTTACACACAGACCCTTTGAAAGGCCGCCATCTAGTTGCTGCAAAAGACATTCTCCCAGGAGAACTCCTGGTGAAGGAAGATGCTTTTGTAAGTGTCCTTAACCCAGGAGAAACGCCCCCACTGCATTATGGCCTAGAGAACAAGTGGGATACCAGAGTCACCAATGGAGACCTCTACTGTCACCGATGTCTGAAGCACACTTTGGCCACAGTACCCTGTGGTGGCTGCAGCTATGCCAGATATTGCAGCCAAGAATGCATGCAGAAGGCGTGGGAGTGCTACCATAGCACAGAGTGTCCTCTAGGGGGGCTGCTTCTCACACTTGGGGTCTTCTGCCATGTTGCCCTGAGGATAACTCTTCTAGCCAGATTTGAAGATGTTGACAGAGTTGTAAGGATGCTTTGTGAGGAGACTGGTAACAAAGACATCTGTCTACCTGAAAAGAAGAATCCGGTCAAGACACTTCATTGTACAAATCGGGGGGAGAGTGAAAACAGCATAATAGGTGAAACCCCAATTCCTGGATGTAATGTCCATGGAAAGTACGAAAGTAATTATAATGCAGTCTTCAGCCTTTTGCCTCATACTGAAAAGCATAGCCCAGAACACAAATTCATCTGTGCCATCAGTGTCTCTGCACTGTGCAAGCAGCTCAGAGCAGCCAGCTTGCAGGCCCGAACCATGCACTTAAAGTCCTCCAAGCTGGAAGCAGTGACTCCAGGATTGTGTGCAGATTTGACTATCTGGGGAGTAGCCATTCTGCGACACATGCTACAGCTGCAGTGCAATGCTCAGGCGATAACCTCCATAAGGCACACAGGTAAGACAGAAACCTGATTTTTGCCTTACATTATTGGTCTTTCTTTTCTTTCTTTCTTTCTTTTTTTTTTGTTTTGTTTTGTTTTGTTTCAAGACAGGATTTCTCTGTAGCTTGAGAGGCTGTCCTGGAACTAGCTGTCCTGGGCTGGACTCGTACTCACAGAGATTCGCCCTGCCTCTGCATTCCAAGTGCTGGGACTAAAGGCATGTGCCACCAACGCCTGGCTTTTAAGATTTATTTATTTGCTATATATACAGTGTTCTATCTGCATGTATGCCTACACGCTAGAAGAGAGCACCAGATCTCATTATAGATGGTTGTGAGCCACCATGTGG